GGTGGTGCCTTCAAGTCAGCGTTGACTCCCAGAGACTCTGGCGTAATGCCATTTTCTTGGCAACATTTTTGAAAGGGTTTTGCCCTTGTCTTCTTCTTCTTCTTCTTCTTCTTCTTCTTCTTCTTCTTCTTCTTCTTCTTCTTCTTCTTCTTCTTCTTCTTCTTCTTCTTCTTCTTCTTCTTCTTCTTCTTCTTCTTCTTCTTCTTCTTCTTCTTCTTCTTCTTCTTCTTCTTCTTCTTCTTCTTCTTCTTCTTCTTATTCTTCTTCTTCTTCTTCTTCTTCTTCTTCTTCTTCTTCTTCTTCTTCTTCTTCTTCCTCTTCCTCTTCCTCTTCCTCTTCCTCTTCCTCTTCCTCTTCCTCTTCCTCTTCCTCTTCTTCTTCTTCTTCTTCTTCTTCTTCTTCTTCTTCTTCTAGTCCTGGCTTAAGACATGACTAGAATTGTTGGTTGCCTGCTTTCTAGCCAGGTGCCTTCAACCAGGAGACCAAACTGGCTTTCCATAGTGTTATTAGGAGCTGGAGATGGGAAGTCTTGGCAGTCCGTGATAGGTTCCCATTATTCCAGGTTTCTCAGTACCAACAACCTCTTGCCAAGAGTTTTGAGTAGCTTTTGCTTCAAATCAGCCAAACTGGCTTGCTTTTCAATATCTTTTTGCCACATAGACATTCATAGTAATTTCCTCCTGAAATATAACTACGCTTTGATATTTTAAGCATTGTCTTCTGACCATAGTCTTCTCCATTCCCATCTAGAAAAGAGGTTTCAGGCCAAGCATTGACCAACTTGTGCCATTGCCCAACATTGTTATAGTGTTTGACTGTTCTACAGAGACTATGATCCAGAGGCTGATGATCAGAAGCCAGCTGGGCCAAAGAGTGAATGGCCAGGATAGAATTATCCAGCAGTGGCTCAAGAAGCATTGTACATTGTGTGACCCTGTCCTCAGCTATTACCTGCAGAAAAGCCTACTCAGATTTATGGTAGTTTATAACAGTATTTATAAACTATAGCTTATACTACAGCCACTGGAGGTTTCAAGAACTTCTATTCCAGGTAGAGTAGCTGAGTGGCCTTCAGTCCTCAGATATACAGACTATAAGAAGATATAACCCCCCCCCCAGCCCCTGAAAGAGATCAGATTGGAGTGATGCCCTCTTTGTCGCTTCACACTCTACAGCTTTGAGTTAGGTGGACTTTGCAATTTGCTCATGTCTTAAGAAAATGAAGATTTAAGCTGCAGCCCTCTATCTGGGATTAAATCGCCCTAAATTCCATAGGCTTATCATGAATAACCCTGCATCGGATTGCATCGACTGGCGAAAGGGCCAAGAAGTGTTATTTTCACTTCTTAAAAATAAATAGCCTACCTGGAAGTCTGCCATCCTCCCACACATTTTACGAGGAGAATCCAGAAATTATCCATAGGAGGCAAAACTGGACTGCAGCAAGCAAGATTTTAGGGTTACTGGCGAAAAGTCATGCTCCTCTGGCAATGAGAATTATGCTGGGTAGGCACAAGCGGAGAAATGGCCAAACTCAGCCCCCCCCCGCCCGCAAAAAAGGAACACGATGCAAAACTTGATTTGATTAATAAAATAGAATGTGCTATTTCGCGTTTGCAGTTAACAGCTTAATATATGGCTTAAAACATATAATTAGCACTTATCCGATAAACAAAGCATGGGCTGTGCTGTGCAGCATTTTCTAAATCTAGCGTATTATATCCAGAGATTTTAGGCAGAGAATTCTATAAAGCAAATACTTCCAGGGAGTGTAAGTGGTCTACTGAGTTTTAGCTTAATATGTTTTCATAGCTAGATAAATCAATTAGCCTGCATTACTGTTTAGGAAACACACACAACCTCAACTGATCTAAAAATCAGCTTTTGGTTTCTTTTTTTCTTACGCACTTAATCTGTCCCTATTCTGCTCGGCTCCACGGGCTTTTCCAACTTGGCATCTCCCAAAGATTATCAGAATTGTAACACTCAAATTTCCTAATTATCTTCTCCGGGGAGGCAATTCTATTCTGGAATTGTAGTCCCCACAAAATGTGGATGGACTCAAATGGGGGGTGGGAAGAGGGGGGGGAGGAAATTACCCCACTGCTTTTAATCTTTCCACAGTGCGCTGACCTGTGAGAACAGGTTATGGCGCAGCTTCTGAACAAAAGACAAAGCAGAGGTCAGAAAAAGAGGTTAGGAGAAAAGCAGAAGGAATATTCAAAGGCCCCCCGAATCCAAATATTTTAAAACAGGCTGGCATGAATGGCTTGCCATCAATAGCAAGGCATTCAGTTCAGGCGAGCAATAATCCCTCTGTCTGACGGAGTATAGATAGTCCTCATTTTACAACCATTCATTTAGCGACCGTTCAACGATACAACAGCACTGAAAAAAGCAACTTGTGATCGTTTTGCAGCACGCCTGGAGTTCTCTGATCAAAATTGGGATGCTTGGCGATAATTGGATCATATTTATGAGGGTGGCCGTGTCCCGAAGTCACGTGATCTCTTCTGTGACCTTCTGACAAGCGAACTCCACGGGGAAGAATCCAGATTCTCTTAACAACTGTGTTACGAGCTTAACAGCTGAAGTGATTCACTTAACAACAAAAGTCATAAAACGGGCAAACTGGGACACTTAACGATTGTCTTGCTTAGCAATGGAAATTTTGGGCTCCCCGGCAGTCATTAAATCGAGGACTACCTGAATTTTTCTACTATTGGCCAAAACATTCTTCACCAAACTGCGGTCTGAGAATCAGGAGGGATGATATCTCTGTTTTTTTTTTCTTTCCAGTGGGGGTAGAATAAATTCTGGAATCATTTCTCAAGAACTGGTAGTGACACTGTCCTGCCCCCCACCCCAAAGCCCCCCCCCAGGAGAGATTTCTGTCTGACATCTTCCCTTGAGAGAGAATTGAAACCTGAGAAGATTGTGGACTGCTCTAAACATCATTGTGCAAAGAAAGGACATCCACACACACACACAGAGACATAGGCACACAAACACACACTGTGTGTGCCACCTCCTCCATCAAGAAGCATAACAACATCCCAGACCACCCAGGAGAAACTAAGGCACATTCTTTTCTCCTCTGAAATTATTTCTAAAATGAATTGTCTTTCATTACGTTACGGAAGAACTAGGAAAATTAAAAACAAAAACAATTTTTTAAAAAAAAAAATAATAATAAAAGAGAAATTACTGGGGACTGTGCCCAGCCTGGCTTTTGATTTCTGCTCAGTTTGGAGGAAAAACTACCCAGATTTCACAGCAAGGTTAGAGAAAAAGCTACAGAGCAATCCCAGGTCCTCCTTCAGGTGCATTTAGTATAAAAACTTTTGTCTTAACCATCTTCTTGGTACGCCAATATAGGTACTCCTCAACTTACGACCGTTCATTTAGTGACCGTTTAAAGTTACAACAGCACTGGAAAAAGGGACGTACAACCAAGCTTTACACTTACGACCGTCACAGCGTTCCCACAGTCACATGATCAAAATTTTTGTGCTAAACAACTAGCAAGTTCCTACTTATGATTGTAACATCCCGGGGCCATGCGGCCGGTACTTTTTAGATAACCTTTATTGTCATTTTTTTTTTACAATGGTAAACATTATAACAATTAACCAGTGGAACAACCTGCCTCCAGAAGGGGTGAATGCTCCAACACTGGAAATTTTTAAGAAGAGACTGGACAGCCATTTGTCCGAAATGGTATAGGTTACCTGCCTGAGCAGGGGGTTGGACTTGATGACCTCCAAGGTCCCTTCCAACTTTATTATTATTATTATTAAAAATGAAAATTTAGTTGCTTGCTCTCAAAGTGTACACACGCATAACATGCATTTAAACATACTATATACAACATAGGTATAGACCTACATCCTTACGTGCAAGTAACGTATAAATATTAATCACCTTCCTAATCAGCTTCCAACCAGCAAAGTCAATGGAGGAAATTGGATTTGCTTAATGACATCATGATTCACTTAACAACCGCAGTGATTTGCTTAACAAGAGTGGTTTAAAAAGGATTCTAAAACTGATGGCGGCTCAATTAACAACAAGGGAAATTTTGGTCCCAGTTGTGGACACAAGTCAGGGATTACCTGTACAGTCAAAACATTTTCCCCATCTTGACGGCCACCATTAGCAACTTAGCATACGGTGATGTGGAAGTCTCTTATAAAGAGTCAGTTCTGCAACCCTGTTTGGGAGGTACGTGTGAATAGTCACCTCTCCTGTGGTTTTGTTCCTCTTAATCTCTAGCAGGCCTGTGAAGGTTTTCCAAAATAAGACACGGAAGGCAGGTGTTTTCCAGTTCATACATGCAAAATGCCCAAAACATCCTTTCTGTCGACCGCAGAAACCTCTGATTGGGAACAGCAACAATCTGAGGTCCTATTTTTACGTTTGGGAGGATTTTAAATGGGACTTCAAAAGGGGTGTCCCAACCTTGACCACTTTAAGACCTGTGGATTTCAATTCTCAGAATTCCACAGCCAGCCATTCTGGTAGTTGAAGTCCACAAGCTTTAAATTTGCCAAGGTTGGACACCTCTTCCTCAAACCTTTGATTAAAAAAATATTTATAATAGATATAAAGGGAATCATTCCACAATTAGAAATACTGAAGTCTTCTTTTATTTTTGGAATATGGTCCTCGCGTGACACGCAAAGCTTGTTTGTGCTGTCCCTCATTATTCTTTTCTCTTTGTCTTTGGGACTGATCAGGGACTGCTAGTGACATCCTCTGTGTCTACAACAGGTTTCAACCTCAGTGCATAAGCCATCTACCTCAATCTGCTCCTGTCTGCAGCCACATCACAAGGGCAGGTAGCGTTTACTCAGAGAGGAAGGAGCATCGTTGAGCATCGAGGGTGTCAACGCTTGTCTTCCTAACCCAACACACCGCCAGACAGAAACCTGTTATTCCGTGGAGCAATTTTTGCAGAAAAACAGATATAGACACAAACACACGCCACCCTTAAGTACCTGAGACCCGAGCCACTCCTTGAAGGAGGAGGAGAGAAGAAGAAGAAGAGCGACATTTTTCTGGTGTGCAACGTGTTGGCTTGTCAACTTCATCACCTTGGGAGAAAAAAGTCAACCAGAGCTGGTTAAGAAAAGACAAACAGAGGGAAAGTGGATTTGGGGTGTTTCTTGGGAAGTCTGCTCAGGATGAAAACCCAGTCTGGGAAGTCACACGTCAACAGCAAAGTGCCTTTTCTTTCACAGACAAGGTGTGCTCCGAATCTCAGCCCTTCTCAACTTTGTTGGTCTCCAGGTCACCTGAGACACTTACTCTCAAGAAAAAGAACACACAGCTAGAAGTTCAATACTCCTGAAGGCCATTCAATTAAGAAAGGCTACTGTGTTTCCCCCAAAATAGGACCCAACCGGAAAATAAGGTCTAGCTTGATTTTTCAGGACGCTCCAAAAATAGGTCCCAGTTAAGATCGCCAGCCAGACGGATCCATTTCCCCGAAAATAAGACCTAACCAGAAAAATAAGCCCTAATACATCTTTTGGAGCAAAAATTAATATAAGACCTGGCCTTATTTTCAGAGGAACACGGTATCTATCTCCTGGTACGTTTCGAGATGCAAAAATCTATTTCCTGAAGCCCAAAGCTCTTTTGCCAAATTTCTGGAATTGTAGGTCACTAAATAAACATTAGGAAAATATAACAGACTAACAGAGTTGGAAGAGACCTTGGAGGTCTTCTAGTCCAGGGGTAGGCAACCTTGGCTCTTGTATGACTCTTGGACTTCAACTCCCAGAATTCCTGAGCCAGCATGGCTCAGCTTGGAAACCTCTCCATTTCCCCTCAGCATGGCTGGCTCTGGAATTCTGGGAGTTGAAGTCCATGAGTCATAAAGCAGCCTAGGCCTAGGTCAGGGGTAGGCAACCTTGGCTCTTTTATGACTCGTGGACTTCAACTCCCAGAATTCCCGAGCCAGCCATGCTGAGGGGAAAGGGAGAGGTTTCCAAGCTGAGCCATGCTGGCTCAGGAATTCTGGGAGTTGAGGTCCACAAGTCATGAAGCGGCCTAGGCCTAGACCAGGGATAGGCAACCTTGGCTCTTTTATGACTCGTGGACTTCAACTCCCAGAATTCCTGAGTCAGCATGGCTCAGCTTGGAAACCTCTCCCTTTCCCCTCAGCATGGCTGGCTCAGGAATTCTGGGAGTTGAAGTCCACGAGTCCTAAAAGAGCCAATGTTGCCTTGTTGTTGTTAATTGCGAAGTCGTGTCCGACCCGTCGCGACCCCATGGACAATGTTCCTCCAGGTCTTCCTGTCCTCTACCATCTTCTGGAGTCCATTTAAATTCACACCTACTGCTTCAGTGACTCCATCCAGCCATCTCATTCTCTGTCGTCCCCTTCTTCTATTGCCCTCAATCTTTCCCACATTAGGCTCTTCTCCAGTGAATCCTTCCTTCTCATTAGGTGGCCAAAGTACTTGAGTTTCAACTTCAGGATCTGGCCTTCTAAAGAGCAGTCGGGGTTGATCTCTTCTAGGACTGACCGGTTTGAACGCCTTGCAGTCCAAGGGACTCGCAGGAGTCTTCTCCAGCACCAGTTTCAGACAATCTCTTCTTGAAAACCTCCAGTGTTGGAGCATCCACAACTTCTGAAAGCAAGCTGTTCCACTGATTAACTGTTCTGTCAGGAAATTCCTCCTTACTTCTATGCTGGATCTCTCCTTGATTAGTTTCCATCCATTCTTCTTGTCTTTGCCCTCAGGTGCTTTGGGCAATAATTCGACCCCCTCTTCTCTGTGGCAGCCATGTCACCCCTGGTCCTTCGTGTTATTAAACTAGTCATCCCTGATTCCTGCAACCATTCTTGATATGTTTTAGCCTCCAGTCCCCTAATCATCTTTGTTGCTTTTCTCTGCACCCTTTCTAGTGTCTCAACATATTTTTTTACATCGTGGCGACCCAAAATGGATGCCGTATTCCACATGGAGTCTATAGGGCTTGCTCAATTAAACAAGCACCTCCTACTTAGGATTTTGCTTTTAGAGTGCTGGAATCCACACTGTGCAGCAAACAAGTTGCATTTGTAGATGCATTCCCATTCCTTTTAAACCAAATTATGTTCAAGTAGTACTCAACCTTAACTGAGGCTAAAATTACAGTTTGTAACGCATTGTGATCGTAAGTCCATGTGACGAGACCTAATTTTTAGGCATTTTTGTGGTCATTAAGTAAATCTGTTATACTGAACAGGCATTTTGCCAGTAAATGGAAAAATCCCCTGGAAACCAGCAAAAAACATTGAAGATTATAATCACACGATTGCAGGATATACAAATGGCATAAAAAGTGAGTCGACTGCAGTCACGTGACTGCGGGGTGAGCGCGCTTGTGCAACTGTAGCAACTCTGAGGTAGTTTTTGTGGGATCCATTGTAACTTCGAATGATGTGACCAGTTGTTTAAGTTGAGGATTCTCTGAACCAAAACTGAGGGTTTATTTACCACTTGAGAAAAAAGTGTAAGGAACAAACAAGCTTTGGCCAGCCAAAACAGGATGATGGACCCTCCGATGGACTTCAACAGACCACAACTTTGTGAATCATTGCCCTTGAGAGGCACTGCTTTTTGCTCTGGAAAATCAGGGTTTGGTAACATGGGATTTTTGACTCCTGTGTCTAGCATCACCAAGCCCTGAATTTAAGAAAAAAAAATAAACAACGATATGTCTCTCATGCCGTTCCGAGACATTTCAGGCCCGACCACACCCAAATCTCAAGGATGAGATCATCAAAATCACACACCATTGTAGGTATTATTTTTCAAAGGGGGTGTTATGCGCACCTTGGAAAATGCCTTCCTCTTCATTTTCTAAACACCCCACAGGTCTGTTTTAAGGAGCACCAAGAGCACCTGAAATAGGCCCACTCCTAGGTGACTACAAGAGCAGTCCAACATGCAGCAGCACACCCAAGAACAGAACCACAATACAGATAGATCTTGAGTTACCACAGTCCACTTAGTGACTGTTTAAACTTATGACCGCACTGACAAAAGTGACTCGTGACTGTTTTTCACACTTACAGCATCCCCGTGGTGACGCGATTAAAATTTGGATGCTTGGCAAAACTGACTCACATTTATGACGGTTGCTGTGTTCTGGGGTCACGTGATTCCCTTTTGCGACCTTCTGACAAGCAAAGTCCATGGGGAAGCCAGATTCACTTAACAGCCGTGTTACTAACTTAACAACTGCGGTGATTCACTTCACAACTGCGACAAGAAAGGTCGAAAAACGGGGCAAAATTCACTTAACAAATGTCTCGCTTATCAATGGAAATGGTTGGCTCAATTGTGGTCATTAAATCGAGGAATACCTGTACTGTAATCTCATCAGAGAGATGGCAATATTCCTTCTAAGGAATTTTGCAAAGAAATGTGTCCAGCTTTTGCGAGTGCGGCTTGCATCTAGTGGTTCCACAACTTTTCCTCTGTTTTTTCTCTGTTCTTTGCTTCTTCCCCTCCTAATATTTTCCTTTCTCTTAAACATAAACCACATGATTTTGCAAATATTGAAAAACTAGACTACGTGTGCTTGCACAAAACAAGACTGCCTGATGTTGGTGTTGATGAGGGCCATCTGTTTCACTTTAGCAATGAATTCACACGCTTATATAGGACTACTAGAAATGAGCTTAGGGCACTAGGACAATTTTCCTGAGAGTCAGGTTGTGTTGAACAAATGAGACTTATTTCAAGGTCTCTTGTTAGTGTATATAGCTGGGCAAGGATTTAAACTCTAAATTTTATGGATGAACCCCCACAACGCTATGTTATAAAGCTTCCTGTTTTGATCAACACGGAAGACATTCTTGAACATGTGAGTCAGAGAACTACCCAGGATCCATTGATCATTATTTATTATCTCCATAAGGTTCATTAATGGTCTTTATTTTCAAGAGTAATATTTTTAGCTGCCAAATCCTGCATAGAGCTCAAAAATATTTCTAGTCTTCAAAGTGTCTGGTCACTTGAGACTTCCCAACCTGTCTTTGGGAAGAGATGAATTAGGGATCCAGTTAATTCATTTTTATAGCATCTGTGACATTCTTCTCAACCTGATCTCCTCCAGATGTTGGATTTCAGCACCTGAAATTCCCTGCTGCCACGACCTTCAACACTATTAATTCTGGCTATTAGTCCAATACATCTGTAGGACATAACACTTAGCCCTAAAAGTTCACCACGTTATAAAAGCCATAAAACAAGGGTTTGGAAAGCTAAGGGGTTGACAAAGGATTTGAATGACATGACACCATGGTGTCCTATTTCCAAGCTGACATTCTGGGTGGCACTACCATAAGAAAGATTCTAGATTTCTCCATGCTATGATGTCTTCCACCAATATCATTTCAGATTGCTACACTCAATTGGTCTTTTAGAAATTGGAAGTAGATAAAACATGAATTGTGTTCAAAGAAAATACAGGTTGCAAATTGCATTTAGCTTAGGAATTGTCAATTTTAGTTAGGCTTTGCGTGACTCAGTGTACTGGGTAAGTCCACCCCATTTACAGATAGTCCTCAACTTACAATCATTCATTTAGTGACCGTTTGATGTCACGGCACTGAAAAAAGTGACATATGACCATTTTTCACACTTCTGCTTCAGCATTCCCATAGTCACGTGATCAAAATTCAGATGCTTGGCAATTAACTCATATTTATGATGGTTGCAGTGTCACGGGGTCATGTGATCCCCTTTTGCGACCTTCTGACAAGAATTAAAGAATTATAGAATAGAATAGAGCTGGAAGGGACCTTGGAGGTCTTCTAGTCCAGCTCCCTGCTCAAACAGGAAGACCTGTACCATCTTAGACAGTGACTATCTAGCCTCTTCTTAAAAATCTCCAGTGATGGCGTGCCCATGATTTCTGGAGGCAAGCTGTTTCACTGGTTAATTGTCCTCAGTGTCAGGAAGTTTCTCCTTAATTCTAGATGGCTTCTCTCTTTGTTCAGTTTCCAACCATTGTTTCTTGTCCTGCCTCTGGTGCTTTGGTGAATAATGTGACCCCCTCTTCTTTGTGGCAGCCTCTCAGATACTGGAAC